TTCTGAAGAGTCAAACTATTATGAACACCATCTCTATTTATACCTGGAAGCTTAGTGTTTCAAGAGTGTTAATTAACTCTATTAACGATCTCCGGACACTGCCATTTTCTGTTCTCGCAAACAGAAACTCCAATCATCTCCATTTACTTCAGAAAAGTTCACCTGTAGGCGGAATTAACCAATTTGCATCACGACTGCATTGTACGACCTGTCTGTTGCATCATAAAAGTAGATCTCATGAAAGGTCTCAGTCGCCGAGAATTGAAACATGTATGATCGATCACATGTATTTGACTCTTTGAACTCGAAAGGCGATTCTCACGTATTTAATATTAACCTCTATATAACGCATCAATATATGAAATATTCAAATAACATAGTTTTGTTCCTTAATTCACATGTAAATTTGTTTTAAGTTAGTTTCAAAGAATGCCTTCTATACTCATAAAAAATTGTTGAATGCTTCTAATGAAAAATTGTCAAGTACAAAGCGTTAATTTATGTATAATTCGTTCTGATTTAAATATTTACCATTCTCCTGTATCATTAACTGATTAAAGAACTACAAAAACTGTGAAATATTTTGGTAGAGGGATACTGGTCAGCAGAGAACTACATATTATTTCATTTTTTGGGGACCATTTCGCTCAGCGATGCAAATGAGTTAATTAACCCGATTACCGGTCGCCAGACATCGTCGAGCGGTTTCCGTTGCAACGTGCGGGCGATGGAAAACAAGGGGCGAGAACAATCGTCGCGACCGTCTCTGCAGCGCGCTTTCTCGAGTAGAATGGGTCCGCGGTTGGTCGGGCGTTCGCGCGAGAAACGGGTCAAAAGCGCGAAAGAAATCCGGCCATTCGCGGAGGAAAAGTGGATCTCGTCGATATTTGCTGACTTCGATCGGCCCGGTAGCGGAAAACAAGATATATATGAAATTAAAATAAATGAATTGACCTCGCGAAGCGTTCTTCGAGAATCAGAAGAAAATTTGTCATTCGCAAATTCCGAAGAAAGTTGATCACTGTCGAAGCGAAACAATCACCGGAGGCTAGGTCAACAGGCCATCCTGCAGCCGCGTACAGCGTCCGTGAGATGAATTCAATCTCGTCGAAGTTGTACGGAGGCAAACATTGACCCTGTATCGGGCGCATCGATGTGCCGGCCTCTCGATATGGCCAACAATGGCGAGATAATATGACTGAACCTGAACAATGTACACAGCGACAAAGAGAAAGGTGTTTGGAATCTTCAGGGGTAAAGGTAGAAGAATGAAGCTCGGTAAACGAAGGAATCTCTAGTGGAGTCTCGTGAGGGTTGTATTCGAGTATAAAATGTTGGACTTTGGTCTCGATCATCAAATTTCAACGAACAGCAGCTGTGGCCACTCAAGAAATTCTTTTTATTGAGCGTTGAAATTTATTTTAGGGGATAATTGTGTAAAATGTAGAATGCACTCAACCATAAACATGTTGCCAGTAACTTATAAAACATTCATTTTCCTGCCCGTATTTATTAAAACCTTCCTTCTTCGCTGGATGAACACAATCTGCCCTTAAACTTCCAAAATCCTTCCCTTCATCCTATATAATCGAACCGCAGCCCATAAATTAGAAAAGAAATTCCATGGATCGAAAGAGGAACGGGATTCGATCGAGGGATCGTTCGGTGAATGCGTTACGTGCTGTTTCAGGCGAAGAGAGCGAACGCGTTTCGATGCCCATCTCTCAGCCAAGTTTGATTAGTTCGTCCAGGTAAATGGAGCTGCGGCTTGCGAAATAGGTTCCCATGTACCGCCAAGTAAATTTGATTCTAGCGTGGCCGAAATGTTGACCGTGGCTGACGTCCTCGCGTCACGATTTCCTCGGAAAACGTCATACCAGGAGCGGCGAGTGCATTATTTGGGTAGCCGACGCCGATGCCACGGCGCAGAAAGAATTTATGGCGGTCGACGGTAGCCTACATCGGTGCTCCGTGATGTTTGGAATATTGCCGAGCGTGCCAGAGGAAGTCGATACATCTTCCTTGTCGGGTGTGCGGGATGAACGATATCCAGCGTATTTGCATCGGAACGATGGCAATATTTATTTCGACCCCACTTCCCGACCGATCCCATCGAGACCGCGGGGTAAACATCCACTCTATCTCCGGTTTGCTTCGACGGGTTTGCGAAAATCGTGCCAGCTGCGATTCAAACGAGATTCCTTATGGGATGAAGATCTGTAACAGGGTTAGCACGTTTGATACAGATGGAGACTACAAAGCTAGGGAACTTCAATTTTTTATTGCGGCTTTAGGACGCAGTTCACTAGGTGATACTGTTGTTCCCAAGAAGATACAGTAGTTTCTACAGCGACATTTTAGTTTGCAAAGTAACTACGTGATTCGCTCCTAGGAACTGCAGTTTGCACTTACTGGCCGCGTTAATGTTGGTTTTCTGATAGGAGTGTGTTACTAGAATAGCTATCATAGGTGTAATTTCATTCTATTTGGTTTTGATATTATGGGTAAGGATTGTGATTGGTGTAGAGTGTCGTTGTAATCTCTTTATTCTGCTATTTTTATGTTCATTGTAATGATATTATTCTTTACTTGTCGAATAGACGTAGATGAACTAAGTGTTTCTATAAATGAATGGAACTATTGTTGTTTCATTTGATTCGACGTTACAACTGACATAAAGTTGGGACATTCTCGTAAACAGCGATTTTCAGAGAAAACAGCACGGTTTTTCTAAAGGAAGGAAAACCAGACTTTAAGTAAGGGAAGAAGGAACACAAAATGACTCTCCTTCTATGGAAAAGAAATAAAAGTACTTGAAAGGCGGACTGTAGAAATGTCGGTTGTATTTTTTTTGTAGCTATTTAGTCCCTGGATCAACAGATGAGTGAATTAGGAATTTAAAATGTCAGGGTTGGGATCAGGTGTGAGTGCCAGCGGTGACGATGAGGATAAAGACGTCGGTCGTGTACATAACACGTGTAAATTATTACACCTACCTAGATGGGCCAAAATGGAACGTCCCGTAAATATCCCATATTATCTTTTTATATTTCGTATATTCAACTTGGAATATTTATTTTCGAGTGCATTCATACAAAAATACGTTCGAAATATTATTTATACATTCCATCTAGTATAACTGACAAATTTACTATCTACCATATTTAATATTACATGAAATATTAACATATATCGAAAAATCTACCGTTAGTCACAAGTTTCTAATAAACAAGACCAACACTCCGAAGTAACTTTTCCTTAGCTTTTACGTTTCCTTGCCAGGGAAATTGTCGAAACCCCCGCGAAATCTTATCGCAAACATCGCGCACGTGTGCTGCGTCGAGAGTTTTACGAGCCACCGTTATCTATTCCGCGCATCGATTTGTTCTGAATACTCCGATGTATCGGTACAGAGAATTTCGAATACGTTACGGAATCGGTCAGTCGCGCGATCCCGTGAATATTTTAGCATCGATTCATGATCTCTGAACAACCGTCGCCGCCCGGGTAAATATTAATCGAATATTTGAGCAGCCAGCGTGTGACGACGTGCATCATACATGGCGAACAAGCGTTCGCTAACTGTTACGCGCGGCCCAGCTCTTCCTCCGGAAGCGTCGAAGACGCCAAGCGAACGCGATGACGTTCTGACTCAGGTGCGCCGGATGGCTTCATTGAGCAAGACGTAGTAAATCCTGCTGGTTTCCCTTTAATTTGTTCCAGACCGTTCGATCTTGACGACCGAGTTCTCGGATGAACGTTAACCCGTTTCTTGCTTGCATTTGCGTTTACTTGATCGTAAAAATAGTCTTCTTGTGATCAACAGTTTGTCTTATGAGTTGTTTCGTAACCTGCTTCGATAGAATTACTTTATAACTTTTTGAAATTAATAGATTCAATATATTTTTAGTAGTTAGTGTATTTTATAGGGGAGTATATGGGTCATCTTATAGCTGATTAGATTTCATGGTGACAGTATTTTTTTGAAAGAAACTGTTCTATCTTCGAAATAAATGTTATATACTGTATCTTCTAAAAAAGTATATATATATATATGAGCAATTTCGTAGGTCAGTTTAGTTTCACTGTAAAAGCACCCATTTTCATGGAACTGTACGCTTTTCCATATGAATGGTGTATATATTCTATAAAAAAATGTACAGGTTATTCTATAGATCAATTTAATTCCACGATTACTTCTCGGCATTCCTTCTCGGGAAATACATAGTACAGCCTTCAAAATAAATGTCAAATAGGAGCACCTACTTCAGTAAACACATATTGTCCATTTTACAAGCTAATTCATTTCGTTTCAATTTTCCTTTAAAATCAAAGTTCTATGAATCTATAACATTCCGCATAACCTAAAGAGAAACCACTGAAAAAATCAAACGGTACGACTCAGTAAACATTTTAGTTGAAAGTAAGTTTCAAAACAATCATCCGAAACCTCAGCCCAAATCCTCAAGAAACTTCGACATCAATTCCAGCCGAAGTTCTATTAACCAGCACCGAACATTCGCGGTGGCGTCAGTCGCGTTAATTTACCCAAGCCGTTGCGATTCCACTTGCCTAAGTTCCCCGGCAAATATTAACGAACCAACTGTCCGCGACAGTGTACACCTGCCAGGCCAACTAAACATTCAGAAATGTCAGAACGCTAGAACCGTTTCCAGTTTGGCCCAGTCCCCAAAGATCCTGCCCGAAGAGTCGTTAGCGAGCAGAAGCGTTGACCCTGCTTCAGGTGAGCGATGATCAGGTGGCGGTGTGTCAGGTGAACCAAGGAGGACGGAGACATCGGGCGACGCAGTGTCGCTGCAGGCGGAACGTTGGTTAGAGCGAGACACAGAATAGAGAAGATAGCAAAGGGAGACAGGGAGAGAGGAAGATAGGAGGCAGCCTAGTACGGCTGCAGTCTAAAATACGCGGAGCGTTCTGGTGGGGGTGTGCAGGTGGCAGAGAAGGTCGGAAGGTTACGAGAGCGCAGACGCCGACCGAAAGCATCGAGGATAGCACCCGGCACGGCACCGGAGTACCGGACAGAGCTAGCTCGTCCGCAACGCTGTGTTCGTCTGGCAGCGAACCCAGGGGCAACAGGGTGCACACCGAGGATCACAACCCGCGTGCTATAACGTCTGATTACCAGGCTCACCTGCGACCAATCCGCTTGATCCCCCACGTCCCAGTGTTCATCCTAGCGGTGGGACCGATCGTCAGCCCGCAGGATCGATCAGCAGAGAAACCAACCGGCACAGCGCGGCAACTTACCGGCGGATCCGGAACAGCCACTCGAACCTTTCCCGCGCTCCGACTCGGTTTACCCCTGTTAACCGAGGCCCATCGAAGCTCGTCTTTCGCGAGGAAAGGTCTCCGCCAAAGGTAAGCGGCCTGCCGTGTGCAACGTGGACCGAGACGAGGTACGAGAGTGACAGTGATTGTTGTTACGTGTTGCTTCTTTCTTGGAGCTAGGAATTGGAGAATCTGTATCGAGGTTATAACGCTACTAGTGCTTCTGATAAGTTGATTGAATTTTGAGTTTGATTAGAGAAGGAGGGCGGAGAACCTTGGCATTAGTTAAATTAGGAAATTAGAATTTTCTAAGCTTCGATGTTTTTGGAATCGCGTTTAGGCTAGATGTTCGTGTTTCACGTTATAGTCGCGTTAGGGTACCCGCATTCACGCGTATAAGTAGAAAGTCTGGTCTTTGACCGTAGTTGACTGGCGCACGGGAACTTCCGGCGAAGTTTGCCGGTTACACGAAAATTAACTGAACGGGAAAGCCGCACGGATTATTAATCCTGCTAACGATCGCAGACAACCGCGAACTTTAGCTCTTAACGCAACCCGGCGACTCTTGCGAGACTATAGATTTGGTCCAAACGCGGACTGCGTCGTTGCTAATGCGGAGTTGGGCGGTTTTACCGTTCAGGATCGTTAGTTTCGACGAAAACCGCAGCCTGTTAGGCGAATCACTGTAGGATAGGGAGTAATTTGCTCGTCTACAGCAAATGGCCACCAGAATTTGATGGCGTATTAATGGCATCGCGGCCGACAATGTGGAGAACGCATTCTCGCCGCATTAGCTCCCGTTATCGCGGCTTCTAATCTTCCCACGCAGATTTCCGGCTGCGTGAACGCGCCTGCTTGCAGAATATTAGCCTTTCATGTCCGCCATTGACACTTGCACAGTGTAATCAAATGATGAGAGCTAGCAGGGATTCGATTCGAAACAGGTGCAATTGAAAATAAAGTGGAATTTGTTATTCCACCGCGGTTACGAGGTAATTTTACTATGAGTCGTTTGGGTATTGGTTGAAATATATGATTATAAATGAGATTATTTTGTTGAAAGAAAGTCTAAAGGAAAGGAAAAAGAAAGGTTGGCCAATACTGTATTTTTACGAGGTGGTTTTTCTTGAAGAGGTAGAGAATGTTTTCCTCCTAAGAAGAGTTACATGAGTCGTAAAAGTTGTGAAAGATGAAACAAACTAGTGAGCGTCTTTTAGAACATACCATTCGCAACTTTCAAAGAAAAGAGACGAACTTCTGCACCTTGCCTTCCGGTACGCTCCGAATCTACGTTTCTAATTCGAATACAGTCTGTAATTATACTTTCACCGAGTCTGTGAAAGCCGGAACTTTCGTCGCAGGAACGAAATTAATGTAAGACGACAAGGCGGGTCGGTAAACACCGCGCGTTGGTCCCCGGGACGCTGTAAACTTTGTTTACAGTTTTGCGAGGGAGCTTCGAGGCGAAGCGAAAGGGGGATGGGGGGTGTAGACAGCGTCGCTTTGTAGTTATTTTAATAACGAATCCGACGTTTCGTTTATAGCCTGCGAGGCAACAAGAAATTTCATCGTTATTAAACTAAGTATGCGTAAGGCACTTTGAAAGAATCTCGGGAAACCTGTGAGAGGGATTCGGGGATTCGCCTACCGAACCCTAGGGCGAGAATTCCGTTCTCTGGGGAGCGATCCGCGTTTTTCGAGATAATTCTGCTCGTTCCTCTGTGTTCGATCTCCCTCGGAGCAGGCTCCCACCCGCGAATTTCGATAGAGGATTTTGGCACGCAGCGTCGACGTACACACCGACGCTTCCTCATTTCCTTGCTCGGCCTTATCTGGGCAACTGTCCCGTCAGGTGTCGGAAATGGCGCAGTAGATTGCACCATTTACCAAAGTCCTTTCAAACCGCAGCTTCGCCTCTCTTGCTCTCCCTTTGCTGGTATTTCTCTGTCTTGTTCGCTATCCTGCTCTTTTCCAGCCACTCCCACACCACTTTTAATAGCTGGGTATCTCGGCCATCGATTTGGTACGCACATCTTATTCCGAAGTATCGTCAGTTTGATTTCGAAGGCGCGCGATTTGGATGGGATATGTCAGCTTAGTGTTTTCACCTGACGTGTTGACGTGGAGAGATTTTGACTGCAATTTGTCTAAAAAATTTTTGATGATATTGTCTTCGCTTGATTTAGGTGTATTCAGTGAAATGAAATGTCGACGACGTTTGTACATTGGGCTTTAGGAAATCTTTCATGAGTCGAGTATAAAATTATATTAATAAATTTTCTGCCGAGATTTCTTATTCTGTGAATAACATTTGCTACAGTAGTTATTCTTTACTTTACTTTCTTTCGTAAATTGAATGCCATGAGTTACTTGCGTGGTAAAGTATATTATATCGAGTTAATCAATCTGATCAATAAAAGTGTACATTAATTGTACATCACGTGTTCTGATATCTTACAAAAGCATAACAAAATAACAAGTCTTAAAATGCATGTTTCGTTTCGATTAATATCCATTGTCCAATTAAATTTCTTTTCACGTCTATACGATATCGTACAGGAGCGCGCAAGTTCCGTTCTCGCAACGATAACACGACCGTAGAAATTAAACGACCGTGTTAAGGCGGTCGCCCGACACGCAAAACGGCCACGAATAATTTCGTGGAAGGGGGAACCTTCGGAACTACATCCGCGGAACAGTATAAGCTTAATTACAAAATCTGACAAAATCCTCGCCAAGTTTCTACAACGCGATGAGTTCCAGTTAAAAAATAATATGAAAAACGTAACTTTTGAGATCGATGCTTTCGGTGAACCAGCGTTCTCGTTCGTCGAAGGTTCGACGTAACAGATATATCGATAATTAGTTTCGCGGAGCAGCTGACTTTAACCCTTTGATGATGAATATCGTCACAGTGACGACATCAGGTTTCCGTATTCAGAACCAAAAGTTGTGAATAAACAGTTCCATTATTTACGGTTATTACAGTTTGTAGTATAATATTGTGGTACCTATAGTTTAATATTGTATTTTACAGTTTCATAATTACATAAGTAATTACTTTGTAACTATAATATCTTATACAACTGATAACTTTATAACTATAGTATTTTATATAACTATTAACTTTATAATCATAATATTTTATGTAACTAATAACTTTATAACTACAATATTTTACTTATTACCGTATTACAGTCATAATTATCTTCTTTTTACCGTTTAAGAATTCGATAATTTAACTTTCCGGGGGAAAAAGCTGTTTTAATACTTCAGCAATTCCTGTTCGCATAGGGCTAAAACAGAAACGACACCGTCAGTGTGTCGCAGATACGAGAAAAACAAGAACGATAAACTTTATACGCGATCGTCAAGCCGCGGTTCGCGTCACTTGTATCCGAAGTTCTCGAACGAGTTCCTGGCGAACGGATCCTTCTGGAACTTCTCGGAGGGTAATAGATTTTACGCATTTCTTATTCCGCTCCTCGATCCAGCCCTCAACCGCGAAACTCCTTCTTACCAGGGAAACTTCGTCCCGCGGAGCTTCTTCTCACGTTTTATTCTAAAACGTTTCTGGAAAGTTATGTGCGTGCTATTCTTGCTTGTTTTCCCGTTAGCGTAACAACACCGAAGCCCTGTGTTGTTCGTGCATTTAGTTTACAGACTTCGTATCGGTGTTACGATAAAAGAAAATATTAGATTTACTAACTAATGTCGATCTAACAGGGGAGCGAACCAATGTGCCAATCATCAATTTCGCTAAAATTTAATACTAAACACACCGACACTATATATACACCTATTCCTACCGCAACCGGTCAAATAACTGGTTATAAAATAAAAGTAAACAAATCAAATGATACATTTTTCTTAGTGAAAACAGAAACATAAGGAAAGACAAAAATCGGAAAATTGTTTAATCGGGCAATATAAGAACCGATGTATAGTTAAATGGACGAAAGAAAATGCAGAATTTTTCACCAAATTTTAAAACCGGTCATTTGACCGGTTGTGGTATGTTCAGTGTTAAGTATAATGTAGTTATCGTAAAAATATTACACGCGTTTCTTTTAGTTGTCTATGTTAACAGTGTGAAAGCCGCCCCTAAAATTGGGATTGCGAAAGTTATTTCGATGATAATCTCAAAAAATGATAAAGATAGAGTAATTGTGTAAATTGATAAAATTTTTATTTTTTAATAACTAGTAATATTATATTCTGCGTTAACGTCTATGGAGGTTAATCAAACCAACAGGAGTCTCGTAATACTCCCATTGATTCGTGTACCTTTTCTACCTCATCTCGCAACCTACATATTTCCCAGCTTTACTCCGGGATATGTCCCCCCATGGATGCTCGGCGACGTTCGTTATGCGCCGCATTGTCGTTTGCCTCTGCGCGTTCATTCGTTTTCCCCTCACAAATTAATTAATTTTCGGTTTAATGCCTGCCCACGCGGCGTATATACACCTGCGCGTCAGTCAGACTTCAACTTCTGCGTTTGCCTTTGTTTGAACGGATACTTCCGACGATTCTGTGCGAGTCCGCTGCAACTGTCTGCGATGCTTCTCTTGCGTAACGACTGCCACTGTGCTGAATAACTTCCGACGCGATCATCCCGGCGGCAGTCGGGCTGTGTCATCAGCCAGCTGAGACACGTTGCAGGTAAACAACTTTTTGTTGTGAGTTTTAGCCGTTATAACATATAGTGCTTTAAAACGCTCTCATCTTCGAAGTTTCCAAGCTCAATCTTAAAGGCTGAGTTTTGAAAGCTTCTTAGAGTTCTGTAAAAGTCGTGTCTTTGAAGCTTCGAGGCTCAATCTTAAAGGCTGAGTGTTGAAGGCTTAGAGTTCCATAAAACACGTGTCTTTGAAGCTTCGAGGTTCAACCTTAAAAGCTGAATCTCCGAAGCCACAAAACTCAATCTTGAAGCTTTAAACGCTCGACCTCAACCTTAAGAGCCCTCAACGCTCAAATCTTTATACTTAAGCCAACGCTGTATTATGTTAATATCGGGTATTAGTTATTCCTGTTAACAGACAACTTGATTTTTCTAGCATAAAGACTCGATCGTTAAAACACTTCAGCTT